TCACTGATATGTGTAACAATGACATCAAGATTGATGAATTCAGCAAGGGCAGCTTCTTGTCTGCGTCGGCCGGTTTGGGCACAGTGGTGACTGGAAAGCAGCTTCACTGTCATTCTGTAAAATCTGGTTTGGGCGGGTGGATTTCTTTATCCAATGGCGTAGTTGACTAGTATTGGCAAATGTGGATGCACTTGTGATGCACAAAGAGCTTTTGGGGAGAAAACAGTTGACAGATTTTTTCACGGAAAGGGTTGATTTCTGGATTGGCATCAAATGGGTGCATTTCTTCTCTCTCTGCTTTTGATGATGAGGCTAGCCGGGTTCGACCCGATGCTCTTACATTCTTGTTAGTGCTATTAACTTGCAATAATGGAAAATTAGATTACCGAGGCATCGAGTATTTTCAATCCATGAGAGAAATATATGCAGTGCCACAGCTGGATCACTATGTTCACTTTGATGATGTCTTGGGCCAGCTAGAGCAGGCTATGAGAGTGATACAAACTATGCGCCTTAGAGCAGATGCTTTTATGTACCAGACATTATGCCAGCCTGCAAAGAATATAGAAATATGGCAGCATTCTATATACCTCTGGCTGAAGATATGGCAAGACGAGGCCTTGAACTTGACCCATTTGATCCAGCATTCTACATACTGCTAGCAAACTTGCATGTGGATTCTGGTCGGCATGACTTAGGTGAGAAGACTGTAAAGGTGATGAGAGAAAAACGTTGAGAAAAACGATCAGAGCTGGGTGGAGATCAGGAACAAAGTTCATCTCTTTGTTGCAGGTGAGAGATTACGTCCACAGATAAATAAAATTTATGAGTTTTATTTATGAGAAAATAGAATCGTTTGAGGATGAGTTCAAGAATTATGGTTATCTATATCAGGGCATGGGAACTGGAGGCTCATACTATCATAGTATTTGCAGAGTCTGCCATAATTAATCAGCAAAAACATTTCCAATAAATTTTCTTTTAATTTCATGTTTCAGTCAAAAAGTATCTATTAACGTCAAAAACTCTACATGGTGAAGATCATGGTAATCATGCCATTACCAGTATGAAGCTGAACAAGAAAAAAAATATTTATGTAAACGTTGAGGAATGGAGGAAACAGATCTGAGAGGACAACAAAACCTTTTTACCCCTGGCATTCAACGTTATTAGCAATTGAATGGTTCCAGCCTTTGTCTTGGGTTAAAAATCTATTCCATCAATGAAACAGGCACAATACAAGATTAACAAATATATACAAGAGAACGAGAAGAAAAATGCAACCTCAACTCTGAAACCCTAGGTGCCTTCAAGCCAAGTGCCTGTAGCATGCTACTCCTTTATCTGTAGCTCCCCAAAGGTGACTTTCGGCTCATCCTTTATAGAAACAGCTTCTAGAGTCTTGTAGAACTCCTCAGGAACAGGACCAGGTCGGTGTTGAGGAACACACTTGGGAATTGGAGCATCATTTTCGATAACTCACATTCATAGTCATCAGGAACACCCCAAGGATCCCACTCTAAGACCCAACACCATATGAGACGCACATCATTACTAAGAAAATGCAAAATATCATAATTTTTCTTGAAATTTACTTTTAATCAAAGCTAGCAGCAGAGGGAAACTTTACCGGACAAGAAAGAACAGCTTAAAGCACATCAATGATCAAACAACCATGAAAGTCTCAACTAATACCATAGTGAACAAATATGGCACCAAAATATTCAGAAAAATAAAAAACAACCTGACTTGGAGTAGACCAGAATCCTTGATGGCTATGACTAAAAACAATCACCTTGATAAATTACGAATAGTATGAGTTACCAGAAACTAACTCTAGGCAGGGGATAACCAAAGCAACCACCAAACGTTTAATGCAGAAGGACAAGCAACGCAACCAGAAAACCAGCGTGTCATTAACTCATAACATCACCGTAACACTAACAAAGTAAGAATTCATGTTTAAATGAAGCAATTTTTGAAGATGAATCATTTTTAAACTCAAGCAACCTCTTTTAGTTTTGCCTCCCACCTTAGTAGTCCCGGCTGGTATCAAGTTGATATGTATAGCAGTTTCACCATCAAATTCATCCCCATTCCAATTCCCATTGTGAATTATGGTCAAGCAATTTACGGACAAGTTTTCCTATTAAAAAGGTTTCTGAATTCCCGTATGCAGCCTTGGTCAAGCAATGCAATAACCAGATTTAATTGACCTAGATTTGCTTAAAGAAAGACTGAAACAATCATTAAGACAAATAACACATATGCCAAATGCCTGATATGACGATAAGCTTGAGCTTCTTCAGCCCCAAAGTTTCCAACTTCAAAGTTTTGGATCCTAAAACCCTAAAACGACAAATACCTTACAAAATATTTTACATGGAAGTGGAAAAAAGAGATCAAAAGATGGTACGAACCGATCATTTTCCCGATAAGAGTGAGCTCGTCACGCGCTTCCTTAATGAGCTCCTCGACCTGGCCGCATTCGAGGCGCTTCTCGATTGTTTCCCAGTCTTCTTCCTCTTGGCAGACCTTTAGACAGTGGAATGTGAAGCTCTCCAAGGCCTTAGGTAGCCCTCGTCCTCGGTTGCGGCCTGGATATCCTTCAGGGTCTTGGTGTAGAGACCAATCAGGACTTCCCTGGCGTTGAGGACCACGTCTAATCCTACGATCCCCGTCGTCTCTTTCACCTTGGCCATCAACGGCCGCGAGATCAATAGCAAGAACATTTTTAGTTTTCCCTGTCTGATTCAGCAGAGCACTGTACCAGTCCTCTTCTCTCGGGTGTTCTGTTTACTTTCCATCTGTCTCGCTGTTGCGATGCACAGGAACAGACTCCGAGGCTGAGAGGGAGACGGTTGCTGAATCGTGTGGCGAATTCATAGGTCTCAGCCAACTATTTTCGTATGGGCCAGCCCAACAATCGGAATCGGATGGTTTTGAATGTTGATTTAGGAGATGGAAAAGCCGACGTCGTTCCCATCCAGCTCTTAACTCTATTGGGCCGAAACACAAGACTAGCCCATAATGGTGAAAAGGAAATATGTAGGGCAGAAACCCAAAATGCCCAAATATTTATAACAAAGCCCTTTCTATTTTTTCATCTCAGAAACATACGAAATACTCATTTTTAAGAATTAAATTCAAGAATTCTAAATTGAGGCTTACACAATTTTTTATTTTAGTTTGAGACACTCCTTTTTTTATTATTACAATCTCAAAATAATAATTAAAGTGAATTTCAATTTCAAGTCTCCTTTAGAATTAATGGATAAATCCAAATGCTTTTGTTTTCAAGTACCCCCCCCCAACTGATATTTCTCATATATATTCACATAACACTTAAAATTTTTTAATTTAGTTTGGTTGATATTGGTGTTTTACATTTTTTTTTTTTAATTTTTGTTTTTAAATTTTATTTAAAAAAGGTAAAAAAATAAATAATAGAAATATTAACCAAACAAAATCTAAGTAATTAGTAGGTTAATTATACAATACTCAATCATATATGCATATTAATTATGACGGCTGTCGTATTATTCGGTTGAGTGTGTATTTGTTTATTTAAAGCAATACGTTATACCTTCTTCATCTATACTTACTTATTGTAGTATTATTTATAGTTAAAGCCTGGTAGAGTATTTTGAATTAAAATACTACACTCGTGCTAGGTTGAAACTTGAAAAAATATTTTTTTTTTAATTTTTAATTTATCATTCAATATCTAACTCCTCTTTTCTCAAAATACCCATGAAAGTATATTATGCTCTTAAGTTAAATAGTCTCAGATTCGTAATTCCTAAAAATCTATTAAAAATATGTAATCAATTTTAAAATTATGTATGGATCAAAACAAACAAAATTCAAGCTTTATCACTTGCGAATGGAAAATAAATATTCTTTTTGTTTCTCTTCGATGAAATTACTAATGCAAAGAAAAATAACAATTATAATAAAAATATAGATCATATGTAAGAAATAAATACAATAAAATCAAACAAACAAACAAATCAATCAACTATCTAATATATAATTAGATCAATTCAACTTAAACTTGAATTGAATTTAGATGAAATTTAAATCTGAAATGTCTTAAAAAATCAGTATATATAAGATTTAAAGATGAATAAAAAATTGTTGCCCAAAGAAGATGACCCAATAGGGCAGCTACAAGGACAAGGGCTGCCTTTGGTCACATTCTTCCATTAAATTCATCGATTAAAATAAGATTGGCCTAACAACTTGCACCCCCCCCCCCTTTTTTTTACGTCACTAGATTCTTGAGCGACATCACTCAATGACCTTGATATACAATTTCTAGAATGTTGAGAATTCAATAAATATAAACTACTGTACTCTTAACTCAGATACTACGACTTTATTTGCCTATTGAATTAAACTACTATCATATTATCTTTCATTTAAATATTAATTAAATAAATAAGTTTGACCAACTCTTATATCTATAAATAAAAATATTTGACCATTCAACCACTAGCGTGAATCGACAGGAAAGGGATCTGGCTTTTTGTCTCGTGAATCGGAAGTGGCTTCACGGTCTGAAACTGTGAAGCGAAGCCCTTTCTTTGTTTCTTTTGCAGTTCTGACAACTGTCATTTTACCACAAGACTGTCCCAAATGCCTAGTTAATAATCCTACATTATTTTTTGGGTTACGAGTTAATTATCATAGCTTTCGGATTTATAGGATACATGGTTTTTTTTTTTTTTTTGCTAATAATAGTAAAGGAGTTAGGCTGCCATGTGTATTGTTGCGATTATTGTAGTAGTAATTCTTCAGTGTTAGTCGATTTGTTTAAACAGTTTACATTATTGAATAACCACCCATATAGACTATTTTTATGTTAATTATTTTTACAGGAAAAATGCCTAATGAAAACCGTAAAAAATGGTAGTTAAATAGGTTCTTTTCCACTGTGCATTGGATCAAAGCTGGCCACGATCATGCAATTACAACCTAATCACCAACATGGGATTTTCTGATTGTGCTCATCATCGGGTCCAGAATCAGACATGGTGATCGATGAAACTCATCGATCAATGGTTGGTAATCAAAATATTACAGAACAAAAATCATATATCTTCATTATAACAGACTTAAAATATTAACTTATGGTATTAACTTTTGTCATCAAAATAAAACTTCATGAATAGTTATTCGTTACGATGTTATATACACGAAATTGAAGGTGGAAATATGCATTTATCTTGTTGGAGAGACCGAGAGAGAGATAATAAAAGGGAAATTGGGTTGCATAAAACTCTGAGTATTCTTAGTTTCTTTATACCCAACCAAAAAAATAAAAATTCATAGTACGTAGTAATAAGAAAAAAGTGAAATTTGGTCTAGCAGCCACCACCAGCAGTGGCTCCGGAGGCGGCGGAGTTATCTGTACCCCAAGAAGAGAAATTATCGCCGAAGGCTGGGCTGCGTCCCAATCGATTACTCGTATGACTGCCAGCGCCAGCACCACCTACGAGTTCTTCCAATCCCTTGAAGAGATCTTCATCTATATGCACGTTGGGGATCAGAAGATTATCTTCATCACTTTCTCCATCCCGAGCCGTTTCAGGAGTCATGTCAACGCTTTCTTCTTCACCTCCATTAACATCCATGTTGTGCACGGGGGCGGCGGTGTCTTCAGGAGCTGAAAGTGGGGTTGTGGGAGAGATGGGAGAGAGGCTTGTGGCTGAGCGAGGAGAGGAGCAAGAAGCAGTAGCACTAGGCAAGGTTTCCGGGACAGATTCTTTGCTTGCGGCCTTTTGAATGGTTGATAGCTTGTTTCGAGTACTGCCAGCAAGAGAGTTCCGGTGAGTGGGCCTAGGGTGCGTGTGGTCACCCGTGTAGGTAACAATAAAGATGTTGGGATCCAAATTGCTACGCTCCATTTGTTTTCTGGCTGGGCACCCTTTTGAGCTGCTGCACCGGTAGTAGTTTCTGAAGGAACCAAAATTCATCTTTTCTGTAGGCTATGTTTGGTATATATAATAGGATTTTGATTAAAATGAAAAAGAACAGAGGAAAAGTAACGAAAGAAACATTAAAGGGCATGGAAGTTAATTAACCTTGGATAGGGGGAGCCTTTGATGGGCTTCTGTCCGTATTTACGCCATGCCCACGGATCTGATGACAAATTATCTGTTGTTACATGGCATACGTTTCTTTTCTGCTGGTTCTTCCTGCAAAACGAGAAAATGGACGATTTTAGCTAAGGAAAAGCTGCAAAGCTACAATCTTCGAAAAAAAAAAAAAAGAACCCAAAAAACAAGGCCCAATCGTTTACCTCTTTCTTAATCTTGGTGCCTGAGATTGCAGGTTTCCTGAAGGAAGGATTGCAGTAGGCCTTGGAACCTCGCCCTGTGGAACAACTTGTTGCAGCTGCTGCTGTCGGTGTAATGGATTCATTTGCTGCTGCGATTGTGGTTGTTCCTGTACATGGTGTTGTTGGTGGTTTCCAGATTGGCCATAAGCAAAAATAGGAAGGAAAGTGGGAGTCAATGGGGAGCTAATCCTGATGATGCTGCTTGTGGTGGTGGGTTGTTCCTGCTGCTGTAGTAACGTTTGATGCTGATGATGTTGGCCACCAGAGCCTTCAGCAACAAAACTTGAAGAGCTGGGATTGATGGTGGTGGGGTCGTCATACGGCAAAAATGACTTACAAGAATCTCTCAAAGAATCACTTTTCCTAGGCCGTGAAAGATTAAGACATGAAAAAGGTTCATCTTTTGCCTTAAACGTAAAAGAAGCCAAGCAAGCCAAAGGGTCTTCATCCCAAGTGCTACTATTCTCATTCGTGAAATCATTTTTTTTTGGGAGATCATTGCTGGCTGTAGCGGTAGTGATATTGGCGGTAGAAGTACAACTCCTCACCACTGCATAAAGATCCCAGTCCTCAGCCATTTTCAGTAGTCCAAAATCAACCTAGAAACTTGCAAACATCCAACTCTTAACTCAGCTTTTTTTTAAGTGAATTGGGCAGAAAGGAAACACGGGCAAAGAAGGCAGAAGGGACGACGCTGACTTTCTTTTGGGTGTGAAAAAAAAAGGAAAAAATAGTAGAGAGAAATGAAAAGGAAAAAAGCATAAGACAGAGTAAGAAGAGAGAGGAAATCATGGTGTACTGACTTGGTCATTGTTAATTTTTTATACTTGTGAGAAAGGAAAATAAAAAGTTTATTGGATTTTGCAAAAAAGAAAAGAATTTACATTCGATGCAATGATCATCAATTTATTTTTAAAGGTTTCTTAATTTTTAAATTTATTTGTTCATTATATGATAATACGTAGTTAGATAATAATATATAAAATTGATATATTATAATTATATCAAATAAAAATTAAAAATAATAAAATTTTATTTTTTTCTATCGAGATTTATAAGTTTTAAAGTCTATTTGAACAAACAAAAATATTATATTTAATGAGATTAAAAATAATAATAATGGTGAAATTGAATAGTATAATAGTAATATTAAAATTAATAATATAATATGTGTTTGATTGCAAATACAACATGAGAGAAATTGTAATGCAAAAAAAAAAATCATTAAAAATGTTAAATAAAATTTATGTACAATGAAAATTTTAAATTATTTTAAATTTATTAAATTAATAAATAATAATAAAAATAAAAATTTTATTTTTATATCAAATAATAGTTTTGTTAAAAATTTTGATTATAATATATTTACACAAATGAAAACTTAACAAAGTAATGTTAAATTAGTTTTTTTGTATTTATTTATATAATAATTGTATATTAAAATTTAACTATTTTTTCAAAGATAATAATACAAATGAAGTTATATGATTTAGAAACTAAAAACTAAAAATAAAGTACTATGATAAAAAGGTCCATTGCAGTGGGTCATCGGACTTTTTTCTTTAATACAAAATTGTTGCTTCAATGCAGTTAAACCATTATACCGTAGACGTTGGCGAGCGTCCTATTATACATATTATTGATTTTTTATTAAATTTTATCGATCTTGAATTAAACTTTTATTAAATTATTTTTGAAAAACTTTATAAACTTTAATTAAAAAATGTCCAAATGAATTGTAACGGTGTGGCTGCATATGTTTAAATTCCATCTTATCGGCGCTGCGTTTAAGACCAATCGGGGTCTTTAATCTCCTCAACTTTGCTTTTTCTTTGATTTTGTTAAAATGTCAAAAGCGCCAAGGCAATGTGGCACTTGTAAGGGCGGTGCTTCCTATGCTTCCAAATCATCCTACACACCCTGCCTTTATACTAGAAATCTAATTGGATACAGGGTTTTCCTCAGCAAAAAGGTTTGGGAATCATCACGCTCTCTCCATGGGCGTGTCAACCACTCCAATGCACACTTGGGAATGTTGCCTTTTGCATGTCCTGCAGTTGGACTACATTCCATAATTTCCATTTTTTAAGAGCTTCCAATTGGGGCAGTAAATAAATAAATACATGAATGAATAAATCTATTTTATTTACCTTTTGAGGTGTCTGGATTCAGTTTATATTCAATAAAAAATTATTTTATTCATTTAAATTTGATCCATTTAAATATTAAAATATTTACATTCAATTCATATTAAGTTCGATTAAATTAAATAAATTTATTTGTAAATACTAAACGTTCACAAACATATATAAATGAATATGTTTATGAATAATAAATAAATTATAATTAAATAAATTTAAATAAATAAACCATAAACAAATATAAATAAATTCAAAAAAATATAAACAAATATTAAAATAATATTAAGATTAAAAATAAAATATAATTTTATTATTATTATAAATAATAAATAATAAATAAATGAGTTTAAATGAATTTTAAATAAATTTTAAATAAATTTATTCACGAATATAATAAATTAAATAAATATTTTTTTGTATTCGATTTATTTAATAAATAAACATAAAAAATACTATTTAAAATAATTTATTAAACATAATAAACGAATAAAAATCAATTTTATTCATTAACGATTCTTTATTTGTATTTGATTCATTTAAATTTTTTTTTACCAATGATTCATGTAATAAACGAATTTAAACATATTATTTAAGATCATTTATTATATTTAATAAACAAATATAAATGAATAAAAATCAATATAATCACAAACGATTCATTAAAAATTTTGTTCAATTATTCTCTTACATGAGAAAAAAAGTAATAGTACAAACAAAAGATAGGTTTTGCATTAATATCCAATGATTTTGTTAAGATTTTCTTCTTGTTTTTTAATATTTTTCTGAATACATTGTATTACATACCCGGAAGATAACATTAATGCCAAGAAATTTCTATTCTACTTTTCCATAATAATTAAATCATTCTTTTTTTAATAGAATAATTAGTTTATTCTGATTAAAATAGTATGGTAAATGTGAAATTAATAGTACCACCAGTTAAAGGAAAATTTAAGTGCATGGCAGGTGACTTTTTCTTGTTCCTCTTTATCTAAATTCAATATATTTTTAATACATAAATTTGGGTAGTACCCTTTTTTTTTTTTTTTTTTTTTCAAAGGGACAAAGTCTTATATTAATAGGAGAGAGGAAATGATTGAGTCGAACCTCAATCTTATATCTTCTTTAAGGTTTACTTGATCACTAAATTAAATAGTTGAAAATTTTCTTTTACTTTTGGTACGATGGGTTGTACCCTGATCAAGAACAGAGAACATAACAATTGATTCGTCATTGTGGCCACAAAAAATTAAATACAATGAATGAATCAAACAATTAAAAATTAAGTATGAATTTTTAATTTAAAAAATTTTAAATATTGAATTTATGATATATTTTTGAAAATTAAACATTTAAATGAATATTGATTAATTTTCTCTAAAAATATAATTTTATAGTTATTTTAAATTTTTTGGCCAAAATAGTTATTTTAATTGTTAAAAGTTAAAAAAAGAATTAATAGTTAGAAGAAAATAATATATTAATATATAATTAATATAATTAAATAATTTTTTTCTTAAATAAGATTAAATTAATGTATTAAGTAAGTAAGTAACTAAAAAATACTTAGTATTTTTAGTAAAAAAATTTAATTAAAAAAATTTTAAAAATGATTTATCAAATACATTGAAAAAATAAAATCATTGAAAATAAATTTTTCAAAGATTTAAAATTTTTTTTAGTTTATCAAACACACCGTAAGTAATATAAATAATCTTAATAAATAGATAAAATTACTACTAAAATTTGGATTGTTATTTAACTTTTATAGGAATTGTATTAACGAGTTCATTTTTATATTCCCTCTTTTTTTTTTTAACGTCAAAAAATTAGGAATGTCAAGAATATGAAAAGAATAAAATATTTTTCATATCTATTATCAGATTTTTATAATATATCCATTATTGTATTCATATTTAATAGGTATTTAAATCAATTATTATTCTCATCCTTATGGGTATTCGATGAGTATGAATAATCATTATACTTATAGTTTTAAAAAAATAAAAACCAAATTTTATTTTTTAAATTTTTTATTTTTATTTTATATATTTAGGTAATTTTTTATAAATATATATTAAGATAAATTTTAATAAAAATACACTAATTTTAATTAATTTAAAATAATAATTATATTATTTAATAAAAATATATCTAATAAATATATATGTAGAGTATGAGTATGGAATGAATGTTATATTACATGTCTTTATCATTATACCTAATCAAAATTTAAAATCATATTTATCTATTTTCTTATAATATAATACACATATCTCACAAAAGACTATTGGTTTAAGTGTCAAGAAACTCGGTTCTCTTCAAACAAAGTCTCGATTTTAATTTTTGTAAATTGAAAAAATAAGTTTGAGAGAGTTTTTTTTTTTTTTTATGAGATTTGATTCGGTAACTTTAGTAAGGATCTAAAGTAGTTATCGGACACCCAGAGGTTTTAGAAAAAAAAATATATATCTCTTTTCTATTAGGGTAAAAAATCAAAATTTTCATTAGATATGAGTAAAATTAAAGTCTTTACACAAAATTATGTTTTTTTTAATATCTAAAACTTTGATTTTTTATATTTTAAAATTATATTTTATATATATATATTTTACTTTTTGACATTAAAAGTAATGAAATTTTAATTTTAATATTAAATATATTAAAATCAAACATTTTTTTTTTTAACTTTGTAAAAGTCAATTGCGCATAAATAATTTGAAATGGAGGGAGTAATTCAATGAGATAAAATAGAGAACAAATCGATGGATATTATCATACTCGTAAATATGTTGAATGCAAATCACGCAAAGGCCACTCTCTTAGCCGCGCGTGGGAAAGTGAGAATTTTTTAGGGGCGGCGGGGCGGGAGCGGGAATGCAACTAGGGAGGGGTCCACCGGTCCACAGTCACGAACCGGCTCACCGCTTGGGCTTGGGGCCCTTTGTTTGGTTTTCGTATGGGAAATGGGAATTCAATGCAAAAGCAGATGTTTGGCACGCTGCATGCATCCTCATGGAAAGACTGGTCCACCTCCTCCGTCCATAGGCGAATAATGACCGTACGATCACCTCCTCCGTCCCATTTGGTGGACCCCCTCCCGAAGGAAAAAATATAATAAAAATTTGTTCCTCTGTTGCTTGCCTTCTATGTAACGTTCTTTTAGCAAGGGATCTTGCACCGTTAAATATTGGTTGGATCATATTTTGGTACGATGCTATGCTTTGTTCAGGTTGTGCTGGAATCTTTGCATTTTTTACGGTGGCTCATTCGGAGGTACTGTGTAAGTGAAAAGTACTGACATTTTTCTTTTTTTTTTGGGTCGGCTTCTTACGAAAATTGTTTTTCTAAGAGGGTAATGATCAGATGTGCGCAGATTTCACATTACTAAATTACTAATGGAATCTTTGAGGCAATAAGGCTCGACATTTGTTTTTAACAGCAAAGAGTGGCCCTTGCGTCATCCCACCTACGTGGCAGAGCACTTGATTGGTTTTCCATTGCACGTGACATGCAATAATATTTTAATATCGTTTGTGAGGTGTAAAATTTCGTTAACAGTACACAAGATATTCATTTTATTTTTTATTCAAATTTTAAAATTTTTAAATGAATTGTACAAATGTTTATGTTGAAGTGTTAGACAAAAAAAAAAAA